TTTACCTCAAAACATTATAAATTCGTCGTAAAATCACTACTATGGTAGAAAAGGAAAGCTGTTACAACAAACTACCATAGTAGAAAGAAATTGCACAATTTTTGAAATTAACATTCAAACTCGAGTCAAACCCAAACTCTATTGCATACAACTAGAAATCATTCATTAACATCCACTAGGCCTCCGAGCCTCCGACTCGGATAACAAAAGACATCAACATCAGCCCATCCAAATGGTTTCCAACACAATAAAACAAAGTTTCACAAGACACTAGACATGGCCTCCGGCCAACCCAAATTAAGGAGATAACATTCCCTCTAATTTATAATAAGGCCGGGCAATCAAAATATTTCAAAAGGGATCCTAAATGTGACAATATATACTAGCCATACATATACAAGGGCTAGAGGCCTAAAGCTAACCAAGCTCAAGCCTCTGCGTCTCTTCCCGATGGCACACGCTTAGAATCTTCACCTGAAAACATTGTAAACCACAAGGTGAGACAAACGTCCCAGTAACTAATCTTTCCAATTCAAGGTACTACTAAATAGGTGCTCGTGAGGTGTCAAGTGGGGCAGTTCACAAGTAATATGCTAAATGATAGCCACAAGTCATGCAAGTGCAATGATGCAATCCCATCAACCATATCCCTCACTTTGGGGGATTTTCAAGAGCCGAACCCGGCCTATCCCTCACTATGGGGGACGTAAGGAGCCATAAAAGGCCTATCCCTCACTCTGGGGGACGTAGGGAGCCAAAAGGCCTATCCCTCACTATAGGGGATGTAAAGAGCCAACCATCATGCATTAATGGAGGCCTTACCACGTGGTAGTAACAATCAAAACTCTCACCAATTCCCAATTCATGCATCATGCTCAATCCGTAATCAAAGAGTAAATAATCACTTCACAATTAACTTCTTTCAGTGGCCTATCTTTCACAAGTTCCAAATTCATTCAATATCAATTGAAACCCCACAAGACGGTTTTCCTTTTTAATATACAACATACACTTTGAACACAGTTGTTACTCGGAGCACAAAACATAAATTTACTCACAATACCACAAAAGCATGTACAAAGGATTGGAAAGTGGTTACCTCTCGCCTGAGCAAGGAATAACAAACCGACAATACGGCCCCGTGCACCAACAAGGCTCACAACTGGTCTACACAAGCACACAAACACATAACCATCATGTATTAGCTTTCAACTAATAATTTAGCCAAAACAACAATTGGGGACACAAAATTCCTATATCCAACCAAAACTTTACCCAACTCAAAAGGGTTTAACCACCAAGGCAATACTTCAAGGTCATAAAAATCCATTAAAACCTTAATTCCTTTCTAAACATCAATTAAAACTCATAACCTCAAGGACCCACTATAGGAATTCAACACCCAAACATCCCATTTGAACAATAGAAGTCTTAACAACATTCTAAACCGATTAAACATCTAATTTAACCCTCCTTGACATAACCCAATTCACAAAACTCAAAATTAACCTCCACATTATCATCCTCAATCACAAACCTCCCATTTCCATAAACCCTAATTTCAAAAACTCAAAGTTCTTCAAATCCAAGAAAACTACACCGATTAAATACTTAGACTAATTCAAAGCAATCAATTAAACTCAAAACAATCGATCAAAAACCTCAATTTCATAACAACCTAGAAAACTCTAGGGTTTCACCATAAATCCTCAGAAATTCCAAGAAAGAAAGTATATTAGAGGTTAAAATCACTTACTTGAGGTAATGGATCCTTAGAAACACCTTTCTCAAGCCACAACACCGAAACCCTAATAGAGCTTCTCTCTCTTCCTTTAGATTTTCTAATTTTCGCAGAACCAGACCCCTCCCGCGACTATATAGATTCGACCCCCTTCGCCGTGGCGAACTAATCCCGAGAGGGATTACTCGCCTGAAAACCTGACTTCGCCGCGGCGAAAGCTTCCTGAAAGGAAACTCTCGCTCGCCTGAACAACATCGCCACGGCGTCCCTATGACTTCGCTGCGGCCAAACCTGCCTGAAAGACAATCCCCCCTGGAACTCTCAGTTCACCGCGGCGAACAAACCCTGAGAGGGATTGTTCATCTATTCCTCCAACATACCTCAATTCCAACCCAAACACCAAGATCAACATTAAATTACTAATCTATCCTTAAAATCAACCAAAAAGAGGCTATTAAAACCTGATAAAACTCAGGATGTTACAGTTACCTCATAGAAAGGCATGTGATTTTTGTACTAACCCTTACTCCATCTTTCTTATAGTACAAATATGCAATTGTCTTGATTTTTGTCTTTTTTAAACCCATAAATTTCTTTTCGTATAGCATAGCTATGCAACTATCTTGAATTGAAATAGGTTTCATAACACAAAACTATCTAAAGTGTCTTGGTACTCTTCAATAGAGATAAATTTGGAAGCCTTTTATTGTTCTTTTTCCTTATAACTAGTCTTTTGCTTATTGAGTTTCTAAATAGAGGTATACTTCTTTGTAATCTAGTTACATAATTTGTATTTGCTATATCTTTTTTTTAAAAACATCTTCTAATTAGATTGTAATCACCATTTTAGATTTTTCATGAATCATTAAAAACTTATGTTGAAGGTCTCTTTAGGATTTGTCATACGAAAGGTGAAGGTAGTGGATCTCAATCTAATCATGCTATAGTAAAGAAGTATCAGATTGCTTAAATATCTTTTCCTCGCAAACTTTGGTTGCAATGCACAAAAAGCTTAAGGGAGTAGAAGCAACTATACCTCAATTATCACTACAAAAAAAATGAAAACTGCAGTGGTTATTTTGTAGTAGTTACAATAAACTACTAGAAATCAAGAAATTGTAGCAGTTTTCATGTGAAACCGCTACAAATCTGCATCGGTTGACCAAAATTTCACTTTGTGTCACATATTGTAGTGGTTCAACGCAAATAACCGCTACAAAATTGGCGCCACTTTCCCACCAGATGGTGAGAGATTGGCACCAAATTTTTAGCAGTTAACGTGTAGATATTATGAGAGAATAACCCCAACAATTCCTTTGTAGCAGTCAATTTGTAGCAGTTATCCTAATGGCAGAAGATGAACCGTTTTATTTTTGTAGCGGTTTCGTATAAAATTTCTACAAATGATTAAAATTTGTAGTGGTTATATGTTAACTGCTACAAAGTTTTGCCATTTTGCAGCAGTTTTAGAGACAACCACGACAAAGTGTTGAGTTATTCGACGAAGATATGACACATGTCACAATGTTGTAGTGATTTGTCTGTAAACCGCTACTAATGTCAATATTGTAGTGGTTTCGGCGCCTATATAAACCCTCCCCCTCCTCTTTCTTTCATTTTTGCCCACGTGTGTACGGAAGTTCTGCTGAAATTTTTCCTCAAGTCCACTATAGCTCTAGATCCAATTCTAGCTACCCAAGTACAAATATATTTCATTTATTAGTTAATTTGTTTAATAGTTATAGTATTTAAATATTTAATTAGTGTTGTATTAATTTAATATTTATTTTAGTTCACTTATTTAATTGACATTGATATTGTTTGACTTCATAATTATATCTGGTATTTTTTTTAAATTTTTGTAGTTTGCATGTTAGTTATAATGATTTAATAATAAAAGATATTTATTTAGTAATTAATTTATATGACATTAGGAGTGAAATTATTTTAATTACAATTTTTTGTATTTTATTTAATTCAAAAAAATTTGAATTTATTGGTTTTTTAATTATTAATTACGAATTGGAAGATAATTATAAAATGTTTAAAATTTATTAAATTCATATTTAAATAGTTTTGTATTTTGTATTTTCTTTATTTTGTTATATATCTTATTGCCTTTAATTTTTTTAGTTTGCATGTTATTTGTAACTGTTTAATGATAAAATTTGTTTAGTAATTAATTTTATTAGACATTAGGAGTGATATTATTTTAATTACATTTTGTAGTATTTTATTTAATTTCAAAAACTTGAAGTTGATTTTTATTTTTAAATTTTTATTTATGGTTTCAAATATAATTGTAAAATGTTTACAATTTGTTAAAGTCATGTTTAAAAATTTTGTATTTTGTATTGTTTAATTATTTGTGGTTTAAATTGCATCACTCGTTGACACGGTAAAGATCCTATTGAGCCTACGAGACCCCCCAGTATCTTGAGCGTCCTGGGCCATTTGAGAAGCTGACAGAGGAGGATGAGGGGCCTATGATCAGCGTGAAAGATTATGAGATCGATGGGCATTTTGATCTCAACTTGAGGGGGGATGAGGGTGGATTCAAGGGTCCTATGGAAGGAGAGGTACAGTGCCTGGAGGAGGAGAAGGAGGACCACAACCACCAGTAGCAACAGCAGCAGCAACAGCCGCCGCGTCGACCTAGTGGACGGTTGAGCGATTGGGAGGTGAAGGTTGTGGGTTAGTGAAATAAGTTACTTAATATTAATAATTAAATGTTATTGATATTATCTTATTATCAATTTAATTATGCAAACCCAGCTAGCAATAGGTCCACGAGGAGACTGAACGTGAAGGACATGCATTACATTCAGGATGCACGTGTCACAGTCCCTTTGAATGAGCATAGGCAATCGATTGAGCTGGGAGGACATCTATTCAACCGATATTTGGCTTATCTAGGTGGACAGTACACAATGTTTCCCATCTATGAGCCTACCTGGAAGAGGATGTCCTACAAGAATAAGAGCGACGCCTGTGAGCTACTAAAGGTAATTAATTACTATTTGAAATTTAGGAATAAATATTTTCCTTAAAATAATTATGAGTTACATTATGAATTTGATTTCTTAGTAATTAAATCATAATTTCATTATTTAATTGCAGAAAAAATTTGTCCTCGGGAATAACATGAAGACACATGCACTGAAGAAGTTAAGGGAGGGCTGGAAGAACAGGAGGGGCTGCTTGTATAATGCAAAGAAAGGCGACGAGATGATATCCCTAGAGGAGATGCAGGCAGGTGTGCCAGATGGCGTCCCTGCCAACGATTGGGCATCATTTGTCTAGCTTAGGGCAACACTTAAGCAGAGGGTATGACTTTAATTTATTGTATTATTGTTATGTTATTGCCATACAAGTTAACTAAATTTATCATATTTTTGTTGCAGCGTCTTTCTCGGAGAAACATCGTGAGTCGCAGCCATTAGGATATCCAACATACAACCTGTTCGAAGACATTTATTGTGACCTATAATGATATTGTGAGTAATATTGCAAATTTAATCAAATTATATGTACATGTACATATAAATGTGAATTTAAATAATTAAAATGTTTTTTTTGGTTTATTATAAATTGGCAGGGGAGGAAGATGCAGCAGGAGAAGGTACGAACGCCCACCTGTGGCGAGATGTGGCCACAGCTCCATAGGCATAGGGACGACACTCCTATATTTCAGTAGGCCGAGGAAGTTGTTGTTAGTATTTAATTGCAATTTTATTGCTTATTTAGTGTTTAAATTTAATGTTCACATTTTTATTATTAATATTATGTTAATTTTATTTAAATTGATAAAATTGTTTTGGCAGGAGAGGATGACCTAGAGTACTACAGAACTCCAAGAGTCTCAAGGGTCAGCTGTGGAGTCTACCACCTCACTCAGGGCAGGCTTAGCTAGACTTAAGCACCTAAGACGAGTTAAGGAACTCAATTTTTTGGCGCCACACTGAGTGTTGTTTACAACCGGGGCCATCATGTGTCTTCTGAGACGAGGACCTCCCAGTCAACAGCAACATCACATCAGACCTTTTATGGCACAAGGTGTCCCAGAAAGCCATCAGTCGAGCAGATTTGTGAGGAGTTTGAGCTCAGTATTAAGCTCGTGAGGCCTAGCTTAAGGCTTGTGAGGCCAGGATGCAGGCCAAATATGAGCAGTAGATGGAAGCTGCCAATGCGATGATGGAGATTGTTTGGCAAAGGGTAGCTCCTGACCTTCCTGCTCTTGTGCTGCCTAATATTTCCATGGACGATGATCTTCCGCCCCAACCAGCCCAGCCCTAACTCGAGCCTGCTGCTGATGATGATTTTGTGGAGTCGTCATCACAAAGGATCAATATTTGAGGATTTTTTTTATTTTTATTATCAGTCAAACTTTTTTTTATTTATGCATTACTGTAATTAATAATTAAATTTTAATTTTCATGCAATTCTAGATATTTGAATTAGTATTAGCAATTTTTATTATTCAAAAATTATTTGATAAGATTAAACATGAATTAAATTTATTAATTACATTAAAACATAACTATTAAATTGGAAATTGAAATTAATAAAAACAAATTAATTGAATTAAAATAATGTTTCGTTCAATTCTAATTTATTGGAAATAGAAATTATTAAATTTTCAAAAAAGAATATTTATATGGGATAAATAAAATAATATTTCAAATTTTAATTAAAAGTTTATATTCGATTCTAGATAGTTGAATTAGTATTATATTTTTTATTACTTAAGAGATATTCTAGATAATTGAATTAGCATAAATCATGGATAAGTCATGGATCAAGTTACTGCACACATGCCAACAATATTTGGCCGAATTAACCTCGTTTGTAGAATTTGCTTCTATGTATGCAACTAGTAATGGTAAGCTTCTTTGTCCATGTCCTAAATACAATTTCAATAAGTGGCACCCATAAGATGTTGTTAAAGACCATTTAATTTTGAAGCCTTTCCCACAAAATTATACATTTTGGTTTTTCCATGGTGAGCAACACGATATGATTGCTCAGTCAACTCCTGGAATTTCCCGAATGTGAATTGAAGCAGAGGAGTTTGACCCTATCAATGACACTATGCGTGATGCATTTGGGATTCACGAACACATATCAAATGAAGAAGTATAGGGACCTGAATTAGAGTTCCTAAGAAACGAAGCTACTTGAAGTTTTTTGGATCTTATGGATGATGCTGATAAGGCTTTGTATCATGGGTGTACAAAGTACTCAAAGCTATCATTTATGGTAAAGCTATATCATATAAAATGCTTATGTAGTATCACACACAAGGCAATGTCAATGCTCCTAGAATTATTGACAAACACATTCCCCCATGTGAATTTCCCATCATTATTTTATGAAGCGAAGAAGATGATTGACAAGCTTGACTTGAACTACATGAAAATTGATGCCTACCCAAATGACTGTATGTTATATTACAGAGAGCATGCAAGCAGAGAGACTTGTATAAGGTATAAGACATCTAGGTACAAGCCTGCACGGAAGGGAAAAAAGTAGAAGAAGAAACCTATAAAAATTCTAAAGTATTAGGTGCTTTAATATTTACTTAAATTTTTTATAAATTATGTCATTATTAAACTAATCATAATTGTTTTCATTTTCTTTACAAATTATGTCATTACTGAACTAATATAATTGCTTTAATTTTTTCTTTAGAAATTATATCATTAATAAGATAATATATTTGCTTTATTATTTTTTAAATTATTTTATTACTCCAGTAATATATTTGCTTCATTGTTTTTTTTTTTTTACAATTATTTTGTTAATTAACTACTATATATTTTCATATTTCAATTCTTAGGTACTTTCCTTTGAAGCTGCACCTGCAGAGAATATATATATATATATATATCATAAAAAATGGCAGAGCATATACGGTGAGATGATGTTGACAAAAATCCAGACAGCAAGTTAAGACATCCACGAGATTCTGAGGCATGGAAAGTATTCAACTCAAAGTTTTTAGATTTTGCTGTCGATCCTAGAAATGTCTGACTTTTATTGGCAACCGATGATTTTAATCCCTTTGGTAATATAAGCACCAGCTACAGTATATGGCCTATGGTGTTAATTCTGTATAATCTCCTGCCTTGGATGTGCATGAAACTGAGCTCTTTTTTAACTGTCCATGATCAGTCTTGGCAAGAAGGCACGTGCAAATGATATAAACGTCTACCTACAACTATTAATATAGGAATTGATTGAGATGTGGACTACTAGTGTGGAAACTTATGACTCATATAAGAAAAACCTTTTCAACCTTCGCGCAGTGTTAATGTGGACAATTAGTGATTTTCCTGGGTTAGGAACATTATCCGGTTGGAATGTACATATGGGGTTGGCTTGTTCTGAGTGCAACTTTAACTCTGAACTTGTGTTCCTTCCATAGAGTCGTAAATGGTGCTTCATGGGTCACTAGCGGTTCTTCGATTCGAAGCACAAATTTAGATAACAACGGAATTGCTTCAATGTAAACAAGAAAAAAGAGATCCTCCTCTTACTTTATCTGGCATTGATATATTTCAACAGCACGAGAGTGTTGATGTCGATTTTAGCAAGATTGGTGAAGTTGAACGAGGCAGATGACGTTCTTATGGCACATCTGATAGTTAGCCAATGCAGTGGCAGAAAAAAATTATCTTCTTCACCCTTCTTTATTAGAAATTTAATTTGATCTGCCACAATCTTGATATCATGCACATTGAAAAGAATGTGTGTGATAATCTGCTATACACATTGCTCAATGAACCTGGAAAGTCTAAAGACCACATCTCTGCTAGGAAAGATTTGCAGGCCCTTGGAATTCATCCAAATGCTTGGCCTGATGATAATGATAGGTTTCTACCAGCTAAATTCACATTGTTGAAGTAGAACAAGGATATCTTCTTATCAACATTAAAGAAAATAAAAGTCCCTTATGGATACTCGAGCAATATCTCAAGGTGTATTGATCTGCAGGCTTGAAAGGTTACTGGGTTGAAGAGTCATGACTCACACGTTTTGATGCAACAATTACTTCCTTTAGCACTTAGAAACACACTCCCTCCTGATGTCTCTATGATTTTGGTGGAGTTGTGTTCATTTTTCAAAAAGTTATGTGCGAAATTTTGATACCAGAGGACCTAGATCAACTGTAGAATATAATTTTGATACTTTGTCATTTGGAGATGATATTTCCTCCGTCTTTCTTCACTGTCATAGCTCATCTTATAGTCCCTTTTGTTCAAGAAGCAAAACTTACTGGCCCAATTCAATATCGATGGATGTACCCTCTTGAAAGGTATGTTATATTGTCTCTTTCAATTGTTCACATTTTAATCTCAATTATAGACAATTATATTATTAATAATTAATTAATCAAATATGAAGATATTTAGGAAAATTAAAATCCTATGTCAGGAATAAGGTGTGGCCAGAGTGATCAATAGTAGAAGGTTATGTTGGAGATGAGATCCTAACTTTATGTTCCTGATACTTTGACGACATCAAGACAACTTTTTAATTGCCCCCCACGCATTGACGATTGTCCACCGGGTCCTTCCAATTCGAGCAACTTCTTCCCTCCTATTGGGAAAACTAGTTGGAGCATTTGAATACTTCAAACTGACTCCTATTGAAAAGTTACAAGCACACAGACATGTCTTGATAAATTGCACTCAAGTTGAACCTTTTCTTTGATAAGTTGTACATTGATTTTCATTTTTATGTTTACAATTTCTTCATCATTGCCTTCTCCAACAAATAATACTATAGGGAATTTAGAAGATATGTCAGGCGCTAGCTACGGGTTCGTTCACAAATAGCTGTTGAGATTGATAAGAGTTCACAAAGAATTTCCAAGTTGATTTGCACATCGAATACATAATGACAACAATCCCCACATAGCTGAACTCAAAAGTCCTACATATGGTCCGTTTGATAATGCTAGGAGCTTTACTGCATATAATGTCAATAGGTTCAAGTTTCGTACAGTAGTGCGTAATCAGGGTTCGCTCACACAAAACTCTGGAGTTTTTGGCACGTTTGGAATGAGGAGTTATGCTAGTACTAGTGACAGTAACATGTGATTTGGAGGCATTCCTTACTATGGAAAGTTGATTGATATTGTTGAGTTAAATTATCAAGGATTTTTCACTATCAATTTGTTTAAGTGTTACTAGGCAAATACGACAACTTCACGTGGACTCACTACTGACGAATTGGGCATCACATCTGTTAATTTCTCCAGGCTCATTCGTACAGGAGAATCTGAAGACCATAAGCCATATATTCTTGCTTTTGAGGCACACCAGGTCTATTATGTCAAGGACGAGAAACATAAAGATTGGAGTATGGTGGTTCACCTCAAGCCGCGAGATTTTTATAACAAGGGTGATGATGGTGATGACATCATTTACAACAGTAAACCCTTCTAACCAACAAATTTTGAAAATTTCTTCGAAGGAGATGACAATTTATCAATTGTTAGATATTTCTTTTTTACATATAATTTTGGTTCATTTTTGTTACATTAATTAACAATATATATTTTAATTTTAATTTATGTTTGTTATAATTATTTCTCATTATATGACTTTATATATCTCCTTTCAAGCAAGGTAATGAAGACTAACTTTTTAACAGTTCATTTCAAATCATTTTTCCAAA